AGAAAAACTTCAAATTTAATTATATAATGAAACAGAACTGATACTTTTAATTTATATAATAAAATTTGGAGTTTTAGCTTCGGTTTTTGAAAGTTGGTAATTCCTGTGTAGCGAAGGAACCATATTTTTAAATCAGTTAATTTATAATATTTCTGCTCTGTAAATTTACATTGAGCACTGTTTTGTAAAAATAAGAAATATCAATAAGAACACCGGATTATATATCTTACTGGTCTTTCTTTTTACTATAACACACACACACACACACACACACACACACACACACACATATATATATATATATATATATATATATATATATATACGAGAAGCACGAAAATTGCAGAACTGAAATTCAGTGTTTCAAAGTTTGAACTTTTACATTGATTAGAGTACTAAGCATATGTATGTGGATATACCAATATACGCCTCTATGGATAACGCTAGACAGTCGAATGGATATATATATATATATATATATATATATATATATATATATATATATATATATGTGTGTGTGTGTGTGTGTGTGTGTGTGTGTGTGTGTTTGCTTCAGTAAGTCGGCAATCTAACATTTTACTGACCTATTTTCATCGGAAATCTTTTATTGTATAATGTTCAGTCTATGTGATTAATATCAACCATTGACTTAAATGCATTGACAAGGAAGGCGATAATAATGAAGAACAAATTTTTGTTGTTGTAGGAATGTTATTTTTTTTTCATTATATGCTTACCCGTCTCTTTCGAGAAGTAAATTCTTTAGGCAAAATAAAGTTTTTTCTTGTTGAAAACAATTTCGTATATTATTAAAAAAAAGATGCAAAATATGTGTAAATAAATATATATATATGTGTGTGTGTGTTTGTGTATATATATATATATATATATATATATATATATATATATATATATATATATACCGCGTGTAACAGCAAAATTGTCCAAATCGTGTAAGCTTTGAATCGCTGTATCTTAGAAATGATTAAAGATATCTTACTGGAATTCTTCGTGGGTTTTATAACTATTGAACTCTATTTGAAGAGTAAGAATGTATTTAGCTCTAAGTTGAAATGATGATCCTTATTGCTGTTGTGACCTCCTTATTCAATATTCTTTTCTACTGTTCCCTCTTTTTTAAACTTATTCACCGTTATCTTGATGGTTCATGAATGGAAGCCATGGTATAAATGTTAATACCATTACTGAAGGCCTGAATGATGTGTTTCCTCTCACCATTGCTCAGTTGAGAAGACATAGTGAGACTGAAACAAAACGATTTTAACCTGTTCTCTTTCTAAATGAAAGACGGTTTTCAGTGATTCTTACGACGAATGGATTCAAGATGGCTAAACGTCTTATCTGAAAAGTTTAGTGTTTTTTAGGTATTAAACATTTTGTGGGATGGACAATTATCGCATGCTGTTACACGATTTATACAATTTTGAGGTTACACCTGATATATATATATATATTTGTTTATATTTTCATGATATATCCTGTCTTAAAAAATGATGAAAAATGAAAAATGTATATAATCGATGAAAAAATACCTATAAACACATTTACACACACACATACACTTATAGATGGACATACGTTTTTAGAGGATACACAAATTTGAGTAGACGTTTCGTGTATTTATTAAAGAGTATATTTATTTTCGGCTACCATCCCGAATAGTTGAGAAATCTTATTAAAGAAAGAGATATAGGTATATAGATATATAGATATATACATACGTATGAACAGGCTCAGATAGATATATAGATAGATATGAACAAGATAGATAGATAGTGTTATGGGAACCATAACAAGTGGCGACGAAGATTCGAATTCATTCGGTGGAAGAAAAAAATTTCGTTCGCCACAGTATAACAAGTGGCGACGAGGAAACCAACTCTCTACGCGGAGGACATACTTTTTTTTTTTTTTTTTGCTATTCGTGGCGCATAACCAGTGGCGATGAGGAAACCCTAAAAGGGTAATACGATACTAATTCCAAAAAAAAGAAAAAGTTTCTTTTTTTATATATCAAATTTTCACTGACAACAAAGGAAAGTTTGTTTTTTTTTTGTTTTTTGTTGCGTGCACAGGCTACAGAATATCAGGTTACACAAAAAAAATACATTAACATGGAAGATTTTAAGTCAACCATTATGGAACTTATCAAAATTCAATTTGAACAGCAACAAAGGTACATCTGGAATTGCAAGAATTATTGTTACGTGCAATGACAAACAAGGAGCAAAAATCCGAGAACAAAACAGTTCTCTCACAAGACGCTATTTGGAGTAATATCGAAGTTTTCAAGTACGCACCCGACGAAGATAAAACTTGCAAATTACTTCCGAAGGTACAAAGATCTATATGATTTTGACCGCAAAGATTGGTCAGACGCACGTAAAGTACGCCTGTTACTAAGAAAATTAGGCACAGCCGAATATACCAAATTCGTAGATTATATCCTTCCCAGAAAAACAAGCGAGTTAACGTTCAAAGAACCCATAAAACTGCTAACGGAACTTTTCGCCCATAATACTTCACTATTCCATAAAAGATGGAAATGCTTGAACCTTACAAAAAAGGACAGTGAAGATTACATAACTTTCGCATCCATTGTTTACAAATATTGTGACGACATTATTGGGACAATTTCAAATGCTTAATTTACGTCCAAGGCCTGGTTTCAACCAAAGACGCGGAAATGAGACACAGAATACTTACTAAATTAGAGAGTGAACAAGATATGACACTTCAAAAACTAGCCGAAGACTGCCAGAGATGCGTCAGTGGGAAGAAAGACTCCAAAGACATAGAACAAGCTGGCATAGCACACGTACGCAAAGTACGAAGGCAAACAAATTTTCCCTCCTCACAAACAAACCGAACCGAGAACCGCCTCAAGAACAGGTAAAACAAAATTTTCTAATTATAATCAACAAAAAAAAACTACCACCCAGTTCATGCTATCGTTGTGGGTCTTGGCATTGGGTTAAAGACTGTACATATCGTTTTAAAACTTGTCTATCATGTAAAAAAATTGGCCACAAAAGTTCTCATTGTTGGTATAGAAAAGAAAAAAAGCAGAATAAAAATTACGAGGACTGATCAAGCGAATGAGACTAATATAAGAAAATATGTACAAGTTGAAATGCAAAACAGAAAAGTTAGGTTACAGCTAGATTCTGGCTCAGACTTAACTATCATAAACCTACAAACATGGAGAAAAATTGAACAAACCTGTCATGTTAAAAACGGATAAAATTGCTAGATCAGTTACGAGAAGAAAGATAAAATTCGAGGGTGAAGTAATTACAAACGTAACATTTAATGGAATGACGAAAAAACTAAAAATGTACGTCTTAAGAAATACCGAAAACCTATTCGGAACAGACTGGATGCAAAAATTCGACTGCCAAAATGTAAAAAGCTTATCAACCGAGGCAGACAAATTAAAAGGAAAACTAAAAACGAGTTTCCCCGAAGTATTTTCAGCAGGTCTCGGAAGATGTAAGAAAATGGCAGCTAATATCGAAATAAAGGAAAACGTTCAACCTGTTTTCAAGATAAAAAGGAGCGTACCGTTTGCATCAATAGAAAAAATTAACCAAGAATTAACTAGACTCGAAAATACGGGCATATTGAAAAAAGTAGAATACAGTAAATGGGCCGCACCACTATCTTCTACCTAGTCCAGCAGAAGTCATTCTTGCTAAGAAAATCAGATCAGCATTCTATAAATTACTACCAAGTAAAACAAAATAAGTAACACAGTCCTACGCACCAAAAAGAAAATTCCTCCCAGGACGGAGAGGAACCCGAAGGAGGCTACGCCGAAAGGCGGAGTCTCCTTCGAGGAGGTAAAACCGGCCCTGAACCCGTTTATACGGGTTCAAACGGGCATATTTTTGGGCTGAGCCCACGGGCTCGGGAAACCCACAATAAACAACCGACCTTGTGTCACATGTTGCCCCAGTGGGGGGAGACTCAATATCGTCAGCCAGTCGCTTTCTCAACTGACTGTTCGGTTCAACTCTCTGTCTACGGACGGAGAGGAACCCGAAGGAGTATACACCGAAGGGCGGAGTCTCCTTCGGGGAGGTAAAACCGGCACTGAACCCGTTTATGCGGGATCAAACGGGCATATTTTTGGGCCGAGCCCACGGGCTCGGGAAACCCACAATAAACAACCGACCTTGTGTCACATGTTGCCCCAGTAGGAGGGGGGGTAGACTGAATACTGTCAGTCAGTCGCTCACTTTCTGAGCGACTGTTCGGTTGAATTCTTTTCCTACGGACAAGAGGAACCCGAAGGAGGCTACGCCGAAGGGCAGGGTCTCCTTTGGGGAGGTAAAACTAGCCCTGAACCCGTTTATACGGGTTCAATGGGCATATTTTTGACCGAGCCCACGGGCTCGGAATGCCCACGTTAAAAAGGCCTTGTGCCACATGACACCCTTGTGGGGGGGGGGTTACTGTATATCGTCAGTCAGTCGCTCACTTTCTGAGCGACTGTTCGGTTGAACTCTCTGCCTTCGGGCGGGGAGGAACCCGAACGAGGCTACGCCGAAGGGCGGAATCTCGTTCGGGGAGGTAAACCGGCCCTGAATCCGTTTATACGGGTTCAATGGGCATATTTTTGGGCCGAGCCCACGGGCTCGGAGAACCCACAATACATAACCGACCTTGTGTCACATGCTGCCCCAGGGGGGGGCTGAATATCGTCAGTCAGTAGTTCAAGTCGAGTCAAGAGTCGAATGAGAGGCAGTCCGAAAGAGAGTCGCGTTCAGACAATTACTGCAAGACATTGGAATAGTGATACTGGTCGAGACTACATTGTTCTCTCTACTAAACCTGATTGTTCATACTAACACTTCTACTTCTCTGTATATATTCCTGTTTGTAATACATCTGTGTTATTCCATACCTGTGTTCGCGTTCTTCTTTATTGGTTCTACCTTGGACTATCACCGTGGTACAAGGAACCGGATCATAACAGATAGATAGATAGATAGATAGATAGATAGATAGATAGACATTCGTATTATGAAATAGATGGATAGTAAGAAAGAATGACAGATAGACAGGCAGCGGAATTTCCCAAATAAAAGAGATAGAGAGAGAGAGGGGGGGAGAGAGTGTGAGAGAGAGTAATTCTAGATAGACAGACATCGGGATTAAAAAATAGATAGATAGATAGATAGATAGATAGATAGATAGATAGATAGATAGATATGTGTATATGAGTGTTAGTAACCTAACGAACTTTTCTTTCTAATCAATGTAAAAGGCAACAACCGAATTGTGAAAAAAATACTCAAGTATATAACATTGAAGCTATTTCAGAATATCCATTCGACTGTCTATCGTTATCCTTCTGTAGATGCATAGATCTGTATATCCACTTACATATGCTGGAAACGCTAATCAAAGTAAAAGGCCAACTGTTTTAATGTCGAATTTCAGCTCAACCAGTTCGATGCTTCTCTTAGTTTCCGGCAAAGTGGACGTCGTATTCGTCATGCAAAGCGAAGCTTATATGCAAATGTAGTATGGATGAAGCAATGATTGTAATGGAGAAAACAAGACAAAAGAAGGAAACTACAGAAGAAGAGAAAGTAGAGGCGAAACAAAGACTGAAGAAGAAGAAGAAGAAGAAGAAGAAGAAGAAGAAGAAGAAGAAAAAGAAGAAGAAGAAGAAGAAGAAGAAGAAGAAAACAAAAATAAAACGACGAAAACAAAGTGGAAAGAAAGCAGACGATAAGACAAGAGAAATATGGAAAGAAATATGATAAAGAAATCAGAATGGAAGAAATTTAAAATAAGATTTGATAAATCAAATAAAGGCATAATCATTGTATTACTTAAAATTTCCCTTCAATATAATTAAATTATAATTTAGATTAAATTATAATTTGAAGATATTCACGCAAAAGAACAACCAATCATATTTTTACACATCTCTCTTCCATTTTAACCAGTCTTTATGACAATATCAGAAAAATATCAGAAAGACTTAAAAAAGATTAACTAAAATAACATATCCTTTTTTATCGATAGTAGAATGAGTCTATCTTAAGTGTTTAGTTCGAAATTCAGTGAACGCTAGTGAATACGTCAGGCGCCTGAAGAAGGCTGGAAGTTAAAACAGCAGAAAGGTCGTGGCTATAACAAAATTAGAACAATAATTTAAATAAATCCCTTTATATTAATGATTATTTCTCATCTGAGAAATTGAGACGGAAATATTACAACTTCTTAGTACTTAGCTTATCCTAGTAGAAGGCTACAATTGGTCAATTAGGTTATTTCAACGATGCATCAACCCTTGTTGAGTTATTTAACATTGAATATAAGTTTTTTATTCTAAAGTTCGCCACTACAAGGTTCAAGGGCCACTTGTGGCAGGGGGGTATTAAATGAGGTCTGTGATATGCAAGTAAAAGGAAGTAAAAAGAAGTAAATATTATGAAGATATCGAGGATAAATAGCGATTGAGCCTTGACTTAAGAGCTAGCGCTTAGGGAAGCATCTACGTGGGAGTTTCTTTCACGAAGAAGCAATATTCAGGAAAAAGTTGTCTGGGAAGAACTTCCTCCTTACAATTGGAATAGAAAGGAAATGTGCGTGATTCGACTTCGTGGGTGTAATACAATGGCGAAAGTAAAGATCTCAAACTGTGGAACGAAAATGTGGAGCTCCTTTGAACTCTTTTACCAGAGAAAGGCGATGAAGTAGAGATAGGTTTACAATGTTTCATCTGTGTGTAAAGAGGCGGATAAGTAACCCTCTACAAGGCCGCGTAAATAATTTTGAACACTTATCAGAGCTGGAAAGTGAGGATTGGACAGCCCCAGTCCAGACATCACAACAATACTCTCATTTTTCGTCTAATCTCACTCTGAGTAATGATATCTCGAAAAAAAAAAATCACAAAAAATCGATAGGTCGACACGGACACCAAGTTTACAGTTGAATCAAAAAGCAAACATGGTTTCAGTTTACATGAGTTAGAAGGTAAACGTTGCTAGGGTTAGGACTACAGAAGGCGTTTATCTCCCTTTGGTAGAGATAAGCCACATGGGTCACGTGACAGCCGCTTAGTGACGTCACTCTATACAATGACAATAGAGGCAGTCATATTTCACTTCTTTTTACGGCAACCGAACCGAAAGGTTGCTTTCTTTAACCCGGGCTATTCATTGTCTGGAGTGACGTTACTAGGCGGCCGTCACGTGACCCATATGACTTATCCCCACCAAAGTGAGATAAGCGCCTTCTGTATGCCTACAGAAGCATGCATTTGGAAAGTGGCCTTTTTTGGCGAGGGGGTGTGATTTCATTTCTGCAGGACATGTAGTTTTAATATTCCAGATCCTGTCGATAGACCAGTATAATTTGGAGACACACACTGGGGATCTGTCTAAACTAAAGAATTACGAGACATGCTTGCTAACTAACGCTCTACAGCAGGCGTCTACGTATCATCCTGGGGTCCACTCGAAATCTACTAAGGATAGAGTTAACGAAAAGGTAGACGTACAAATCCAGTACCCAACCCTTTGCAGGTTATTGTAAACATTTTTTTAATGCAATAATTACTTAGTAATACACATCTTACTAATTAACCCATAGCTAGGAAGGAGTAGACACATACTTTTCCCAAGCACTTTCAGTATCCATGTGTTTACCTAAAGTTCTGATGTCAATTTGGTTTTCTTTGCAGCGAAACCTCTATGGCTTATTTAATGCCAAAATCCAAATATTTCGTACACAAATTCATTTAGTTTTATTTTTATCAGATAATAATGTTTTTGTAATACAATTTCTACTAATTAACCCATAGCTGGGGACGAACAGAGGCGGATTCATACTTTTCCCAAGGGTATTTGCACATAAGTGAATATAACGAACCCAACTGGAATTGAAACTAGGCTCTCCAATTAACAATTGCGAGTCATTATCCATTAAAACACATGCACATAACTGGTATTTCCAAGCGGTCACCCATCTAAGTGCTGACAAGGCACGACGTTGCTCGTACGGGAGCTGGTGTTTCAACGTGATATGATCGAAGCTATTATTTTGACTAATCTTTATCAGGATTTGTTTATGAAATGGTGAAATGGAGGTAAATTTTTAGAGTGACCCCGTATTGTACTCTAGCAAAATTTCACTGGTTATCATTAAACGAGATACAATAGCCGAATACGACGAGAATTTGGATCAGAAATATTGCACGACTCTCAGCGGTTAGAAACAACCTTGAGTTCACAAGAAACAGAAAAATAATCTTCTGCCATACTGATCTTATTTATCACCGACATTTCTCGTGTATTCGATTCTTAAC